AGGGCCCAAAACGCTAATCACCTAGAGGAGAAGTTACTACCCTCATAAAGTTATGATATACATTAGGCGATTAGGTGATTTTTCTAACCCTATGAAAACAGATGTTACTCGTAAAACCCGTCAGTCGTCGTTCAAATAATTAGCTTTCTGGGTCCTATGCGTAAGCTACACTATTTGCTTTAGCGTCTAAACCGAATCTCCTAATCTCAATACGTCAAGGCGGTGATCGCAAAATAATTTAGAGGTAGATGGCGCTACTTAGGTTGGTGGATATTTCAGTTAAGTTTTTTGTTGATTTGATACATAAAAATGAGGTTTCGCAGTTTTTTTTAATTACGTCACGGTCCAACCACTATATTTTTTCCACAATTTTTCCTCAAATTAAACACATATCATGCATGAACTACCGAGATGTTGAATACGCAATACAGTCCCGTTTGTTTGTTTGTTTGATCTCCAGCCATACCTACTAGCGCCTTTTATTGTACTGCAGGTTTACTTGTCCTCCTGAAGTTTTATGACTTCTTGTCCGATTTGAACACAAGTATTATCAAAAACTTTTTAAATTAACACAGTACATTTTAGTGGTCATGAAAACATTTTTTCGTCGAAATTCGTTATTTTATGTCGCTGTCAAAAATAACGCCATAGGTGGCTTAATGAGTTAATTTCCTTTGTTGCACTAAAAACTCTCTATTGCGAAGGAAGTCTGAAACAATCATTTTTTTGTATCCATGCCGTCCACGAGCAGTGGCTACAGTCATTTATCCAACCACTCGACATAGCTCTTTCTAACTTCGTCTTAATACTCAAGTTCTCCTTAGGTTCTCTTGAATTGATTGTTTCTCATTACCCTATCCCGCCTCTTTTGGTGACTCCCGATGGGATTGAGGTTTGCCAAACATGGAATCTAATTATTACTTTATCCAGCTTTTTCTATAACAGTGCAGAACAGTTCAACAGCTGACGGAAGACAGCTAACGGTAATACTAAGCCCATGCGATCTACGTTGGGTCGCCAACCCGTATAAAAATAAATGCTGCACGCCTATGGTATTCCAAGGACAGTACATTTACTGCGGTTTTCTGGTACTGCAGAACTCACAGTGCGAAGCTCGAGAGTGTTGCCGTCAATATAGTATAGGGTGAGAGATTCAAATTTAGCTAACGTCTTAATGTGTACGAGAAAGAAGCGCGCGATATATACAGTAATGGACAAAAGTATATAGACAAATTAATGTTGTGCTGTAGTTCATTATTAACTTGTTTTATTAATACACCATCCTGTATACATAATTCGTTATAGCATAATACTCACTTATACATAAATAAATTCATTAGACTCCCTTCATTAAAAAATTAATTGAAAAAACTGGAACTATGAAGGACAAAAATATATCGACAAATTCTGTTCAACGTTAGTTCAGTACAGTTTCGTGTCAGAAGAGGATTAGTTTGTGTTCATCAAGTATTGTGGAATAAGTTGAGTGATTCTAAGACCATGCCGCGTGGTCCAGAAATTTCTTTCGATGTGAGAACTAAGATCATTGAGTTATACAAAGATTGTCAACGTCAAGTCTTCAGAAATTTGAAGCTGAGGCGTAAAGCAGTTTGTGCAATATTGAACAAATATAAACAAAAAGGTATCTTGGAAACCTCTAAGAGAAGTGGTCGGCCTAGAAAACTAAATGCTAGATCAGTTAGATTAGTAAAAGTAATTTCGTCCAAAGATCTGTTTAAAACCCCAAGACAAATAAAAACCGAAATCCAGACAAAAGGAATTGTCAGTGTTTCTACGAAAACTATAAGTAGAAGACTAAATGATTTGAAGTTATTCGCAACGTCACCCGAGTAAGAAGCCGCTAATCTCGAGGAAAAACCGTAAGGACCGATTACAATTTGCACGGTTGCATCTTGATTGGAGCATATGTAACTGGAAGAGGTATGTTTCAGTGACGAACCCAACTTCAATATGTTTGGATCAGATGGTGTTCATTACGTTAGACGTCCTAGTGGACAAAGATTGAACCCCAAGTACACTTTGCCTATTGTCAAACATGGAGGCGGGTATGTTATGGTTTGGGGGTGCTTTTCGGGGTTTGGAATGGGACCTTTACATATAATAGATGGCATTATGGATAAGTTTGTATACACAGACATACTAAAGCATGTCATTTTGACCTATAGGGAAGACAATATGCCCTTAAGATCAATCTTCCAGCAAGATAATAACCCGAAGCACACTTCAAATCTCGCAAAGAAATTATTTCTGGATGAAAAAATACCAGTTCTCAAATGGCCCTCACAGTCTACCGATATAAACCCCATTGAAAATCTATGGGAATGCTTAGTAGGCAACTGCGAGATAAAAATTATTCAAGCAAGGATTAACTTTTTGCCCTTTAGAGCGAAAGTGGAGACATATTGATGAATCTTATATCAAGAAACTTCTACAATCTATGACGAGACGACGCCAGGCGGTGATTGATAATAATGGTAATGCTACAAGATATTAACACAAACGTGGTTGGTTTTCTATAATTCAATGAACTTTGCTTCTTTTTTCTATAATTGTTTTGCTTTGTCTATACATTTTTGCCCTTCATAGTTGCAGTTTTTTTTTAAATTAATTTTTTATTGAACGGAGTCTAATGAATTTATTTATGTATAAGTAAGTAGTTATTATGCTATAACGAATTATGTATACAGGTTGGTGTATTAATAAGACAAGTTAAAAAAGAAATACAGCACAATATTAATTTGTCTATTACTGTATGTTAGAATGAGGTAAAAGTACCTCGTTGCCTAGCAACCCGAGTACAAGGTCACGGAAGCCATCGGCGCACTCTTTCTGACATACATATCGCGAGCTTATATTTGGTTTTCAGTGTATATATTCTAATGCCGTTTTTGGAAGAGCATTTCATTTTGTCTGGAAGGTATATAATATTACCCAAATGAGAAGCTTCTTAATGATAGAACGTATTTAATTGATACCAAAGGTGCAACCATCTACCACCTTCAATCCCCAACCCCAAATCTACAACTCTTACAAGTTTTTTTTCTGAAAATGGCCCGGGACCTCTAAAGCGTTAAAAACTGAGTTTAAGCGATTTTTATTTATATTTTTTTTTTTGCCCGTACCTTGGCTTTAACTAGAGGAATCTTCAAAAAGCACAAAGGGTTTGTATCGTTGACATAGTAGTAACCTTGCATTAATATTTCAAACAAAATTTGACCAGTACATTTTAAGTTATAACGGGATTAAGGATTATAGCGGACAATTCGACGGACCAAGAGACTGGCCGACGAAAAGGGGCAAGGAAGATGGTCTTTCGTGCCGTGTATGTCATGTAACATCAAAAAATCATAATCATTATTTTCGAAATTTTTCGTGATTACAATGGCTTCTCGGCAATAATTGGCATGGGACGTAAAATGTGTTAAATCACTATGCTAACAATAAAAACTATAAATTTTTAAGCGGTTTTTCCGTTGCAAGGGTAGTGGCGCATCACTTCCATTTTTATGTATGTTTTTTGTAGAATATGTTCGAGAATGGGAAATACGGAATACCAAAATTGCCATGCTTGGGCTCATGAAGAGCAAGCTGGTACTAAAATAGAAGGAATATTATTTTTTCGGAAGAATCCGGGTTTACTAATCTAGCGATGTTTAATCGAAACTATACTCGGTATTGGACTAAGGAAAACCGTTAAATAGTGATATGTATTTGGAATTTTCACTAAACCAAATAGAACATTTTATAGAAAATCTGCAGAACAGCGAACATTTAGTATACCAGCAGGATGGCGCCCCTGCCCACAACTCTAGGGTTGTAACTAATTACTTAAATAGAAATTGGTACTAACGGACCAATCCGTTGGCCTGCATGGTCGCCAGATTTAACCCCTCTTCAATTTGGGGATATTTAAAGGACAAAGTTTATGCCACACCTCCACCGTCTCTAGAAGTACTGGAAAATACAATTAGAACAGCCATTGAAAATATATCTCAAGAACATTTACGAAAAATGCTTATAGAAAACATCAAGAGAGTCAGGTTATGTCAACAACTCGACGGCCAACGCATAGAAAACTTAATCGAATGATTTTTCCTAATTTTTAATTAGCAAATTATCTGCTAAGTTATTTTTTATTTACTTACTTTTGTTACCGTCGATTGGGGTGACATTGATCTCAATGGGCGAGTTTGACCACCAGATCATTTTCTCAAACGTTTGAGTTCAGCGGCAGAACTAGCAAACCACTTACAGCGAAAGATAGTGCGTGCATTAGAGGAAACAATGCCGCAGATACGGTATGGGTGCAAGCTAGCGGTGCCGCTTATTTAACGTAAAAAATCAGTGTTTTTGAAGGTGTCGGTTTTGGGGCATGGAGTAACTATCTGGAAATTTGCCAGGTAAGTTAAAGTGCTGATCTGTATTTTTATTTGCGTCATACTAGATATGTTTGTTGATATTTTGAGGTTACGGTGTAGTCGAGCGGGAATGAACAGTGCAGTGCTTTTCATAATATTGAGATATTTAATGGGTGGGGTCAGATTGTTCGCCTGGACGGGGCGAGATTGATCAATTTTCAGTGATCAATCACACCCCTTCTAACAACATATGTACATTTATTATTGCTAATCATGCTGAGGAATTATAAAAGAACACTTGGATCACGCCGTTATGTGGATTATGCCCCAGAGACCCTAGAAGCTGCTCTCAAAAAGGTGGTAGAAGATGGATGGTCCCTCCGTCAAGCATCGGCTGCACATAATATCCCTTTTGGCACCCTTCGAAATAAGTATATGAGAATCAGAACTCTGAAATCTGGAGGTCAAACAGTTCTTTCAGTTGCCGAAGAACATGCCTTCGTAAAAGCAGTAAATATCTGCTCAGATTGGGGATTCCCACTCACGCTTACTGATTTGCGCTATATAGCTAAACGCTATCTGGATAGTCAGAGTCGCATTATTGGGAAGTTTTGAGCAAACATGCCTGGAACAGATTGGGCTCGTTCTTTCTTACAACGACATAAGAAAGATATTAGCCAAAAAGTTGCATCGAACATCCAGAGAGCTCGGGCTAATGTTTCAAGGGAAGATATAGTCCAATATTTCGAAAATTTGAGTGAAACGTTAAAGCATATCCCAGCTTGTATTATATTCAACTACGATGAAACAAATGTGCAGGATGATCCCGGAAAACAAAGGTTGCTTGTTCGGCGTGGTACAAAATACCCTGAAAGGATATGCAACTTTACCAAAACTCCTACTACCATAATGATGTGCGGGTCGGCTTCTGGTGTGCTGCTTCCACCATACGTCATATGTAAGGCCGAGAAAATGTGGAAGCAGTGGATTGAGCCCGGTCCCAAGGACGAGCCTTGCTGCAACAATAGGTGCTGCAGTGTAGGATCACGATATAATCGAACCCAACATGGATGGATGGACGCTCAAACGTTTACAGATTGGCTTGAATCAGCTTTTGTTCCTCATGCAAAATCTCTTCCTCGTCGGAATGTGTTAATTGGAGACAACCTATTGGCAGTGTAGAGAAAACGATGTTGCTTTGGTTTGCCTCCCATAATGTTCGACCAATCTCACTCAGCCATTGGATGTCGGATTCTTTCGCCCTTTCAAGATAGCTTGGAGGTCTTCCCTAACAAAATGGAAGAAAGCTCATCGCCACTAGTCTACTCTAGATAACAAGAATTTTTCCAGTGTATTAGCTTCTACCCTTATAGAAATTAACCAAAAACATGAGAATGTTATAAAGAAAGACTTGATAAGCTCATTTCGTGCAACTGGTATCCTCCTCTGGATGCTGAACGAATTCTGCGAAAAATTCCAAGCCAAACCACTGATACGAATACTGAAGATTTGATATTGTGGAATATCTGCAACAGCAGCGTTTTACGGTAGGACCATCAGGAAGAAATATGAGGCGTCGAAAGCTTTCAGTAGAGCCTGGAAAAAGTGTTGCTCCAAATGAAGAATCCAGTGACACAGAAACGAACGACGATCCTCAAACTAATGATAGCTCTAGTGAACCGACAGAAAGAGATATGCTTCCTGGCAAATTTCTTCTAGCTAAAGTATGTGGTGGATCTAGAAAAAAAAAACAGTTTATCGATATGTTTCCATGGTGCAAAATGTGACCGAGAGTCAAAATGCTCGAGAATTCGAGTTGTTGGGATTAAAGTCTGTAGTCTCGAAATGGCGACGCATTTTTAGTGAATTTTCCAGACATAGTAGCTGTGTTACCGGATCCTGTCGTGGCAAATTCAGACGGGCTCATCATCTGTGGTTCTGAAAATATGTAGTTTTTCTTTTTTATATTCTACCTCAACTGTTAGGAGACTTATTTACGTTATTTGTGTGAGTTATAAATATGGGCAAGCACCTATTTCAAAGTGTGAAAATATTTTTTTGTGAGGTATTTGGAAAAATAAAGGTTGTTTATCAACCAAATTGGTGTTTTTGGTCATGATTTACTGGAACACGTTCAATAAAATACAGATGATCAATCTCACCCATAGTGAAAAATCTCACCCCACCTACATTAAAATGCTGTAACTCTGTAACCAGTTGAAATATAATAACCAGAGTTGAGGTTGTTCAACTAGGAGCCTGGAACCTCATTTTACATGAAATTAATACTATGTGAACAATATTGCCCCAAAACAAGTATGAAATTGGTCAGCCGTTTTTAGTTCCATTAGGGCGATAGTTTCAAACACGGGAGTTCTTTGCACCTGCTGTGCCATTCTTACCCATAATATGTATCAGATTCGATCATTATAACCGAATAAAATTTTGACACAAAGAAAATGTTGCGAAAAATTTGAATATTTTTATCAATTTCCCCCCAAGGTACTTAGTTTTTACTATGCTAATTTCCGTTATTGCTCTTGTTATCGTCAGAAATACGACGCTCTTTATTGTTAGCATTTAGAAAGCTCCGTTTCCTATTCAAAATTCTGAGAAAATTTTAAAATAATGTTTACGTTTTAAATTAAAAACACAAATGGTCCCAAATTTATGACAATTTCTTTGCTCTGCCAACTCACTGTAGAAGCGGCAAGAGAATCCATTTTGCCTCTCAAATTAGCGGGTAGTTTGGCAAAAAATCCATAGATACTGTCAAAATGCCGCCATATCGAATTTGATATAAATGCCATTTATGCCGCCATTTTGAAAAAGAATGACAATTTATTATGCATCGTTCAAAAGGACATTTTAAGCTCTATGCAAATATGTAAAAATATATACAGGGACCTACTTAAAGTTCTTGTTTCGTACTCACTTCCGGTCAAACCGGAAGCCATATTCAGTTGTTAATGGTTTTTCTAAGTCATATCTTCACACAAAATTTCAAGGTTCATCTTTAAACAGCAATTGAATAGTACCTTGTAAAACGATTTCGTTGACACCCGATATATGCATAGTAAGTTAACCACTGTAAAACTTACCAATTACTATTTTGCGCTTGCTTGCGGAATGGAAAAGCATTATACATTGTCAACGGTCTAATTTTGTACTCGTAAATACCCTATCTGCATGTGTAAGTAGTAAGAGACAAAGTTATTGTCTCCATATATCTTGGCATAAGCAATATACGTGTATCCAAAATGTTTATCTACAGATGTTCAACAAATAAACATAGTAAGACAAATAATCGATAGCATGTTGAGTAGATTATGTGGCCGGAATGGTAAACAAACTTGCTACCTAACACCTAGGTAATGGTAAGCTTGCAGCCAAAATGGAACAACTGCATGCATATCCATATTGTAGACGTGATACATGAACGTGTCAATGAAAAGAGCAATCGCAAATACAAACAAAAGATCACATACAGGTATATGCTGAAAGTCACATATTTGGATATTGATGATGATGGCTTTGAATGGATCATATCCATACATGACTGCACAACTCATACGAGATAAATCGTTTTCGTTCTATTTTCGTGAGCTTTGATATTACTTTTCAGCATTTTCGTTACACAGTTTCATTGTCAATGGATTTTGTTCACTTGAGCGGCGGAGTCTGTTAGCTACAAAAGGCGCTTTAAGTTTTAGTTCTTACAATGGGGTTGATTCGAACACAGAGCCTAAATAGTGAGAAACTGCAATTGTGATGAAATTATAGATACCTCATGGCAGGTTCACACAACCTTCTAATATATCCAAGGCTACAGAGAAAGAGATATGTATTTCGTCTAAAACAGTTTAGCAGATATCTGAAAGTTTTAAATGAATAAATTGGAAAAGTTCAAAATTCAGTGTTTTGGTTGTGTAATTTTCAAATTAAATTTTATAAATAATTGGTAAACAGGAGATTTCAGATCATAAAAAGAACTTCAATATTTATTTTTTTAAATTGAAATCGATAAACAATTAGGCTAGATACAGGTTTTTTGGAATATTGCAATAATAACTGTAAATGGCTAAAATGAGAGAACGAGGGCATCATTGGAGTTAATAGGTACGCTAAATTTCAGCCTGACCGGTTGAATAGTTTATGTAAAAAGCTAATACTTTATCCCAGAGACGAATCTTAAACAACTGTTCTTGACTAAGCTATGGTCCTAGAACATATTACAAAAGTGAAATGGATTCTTGAAAGTTTCAACGTCAATAATTCATGCAAAAAATTAATTATTCAGTTAAAAATTGTTGTTAAAACTGATGTTAAGAAACAGCCATTTGCATAGTTATAAACATTTACAATAACTCCATTTTTTTTTCAATGTAATTTATTTTAACGGGTTGATCTGGATAGGTGAATAAAAAACGGATATTTAAAAACCTTCTACGACCAATAGTAGCCAAGATATTTTTTTTAAATTTATATGTCCTTTGTTTATAAATATTAAGACTCGAAATTTTCACAGGTTTTAATCTTAATTTTATGATCCGTTTTATAATTTTACTATTGATTCAAAGGTGTTTAAGAAATAGCCACCTAAAGTGAAGGTACCCGCGTAGGTATTTCTGGGTAAGGTGGTGGGTGAATCAGCTGTAGATCGATTTGTTTCTTGAAATTGAGCCTTCAAATCGGAGCGCGCTGTAAAGTTTTGAATTATCTCGGCTTCTAAGCAACTTTGAACGTTCTCCTTTTTAATGTTGTATCTTCAAAATAAAATTACTATGAAATAAATTAATTAATGTCATTTACTTTTACCCTCACTTTATTAAAAGTATTTATATTTTACAATAAAATTGTTTAAGCAATTCATAATTCAGTTAATTGGTATACTCTTAACAAAGTACACTAATAAATTGTAAAAAAATATTGAATTACTTTTATCTTTCATTTATATTTATTTGATTTATATTCTTTGTGTGATAATAACTCTCTCCACTCTCGGAATGTCCGGGTGGAGGGTGGGCTCGAGGGAACAACATCGAAGATAAAATTTGTTTTTCGAACATCTGCGGGATCAACAGCAACATTGATGCTGTTCATCACTACCTGCAATCCAATCGTCCCGCCGTGCTTTTCTTGGCGGAGACAAAAATCTCAGAGACTGCACCCATTAACCATCTCAACTTCCCAAACTACGAGGTGCACTCCAATCTGAGAAAGAACGGGGGAGTTGTGGCTTTTGTCCGCAGCAGTCTTTCCTGCTCCAGGGATCTTTCTTTGGAATCAGACCGGAAGGACATTCTGTGGCTTCGCCTCAACTCCAAAAGATCACCCAAATTTATTTGCTGCCTTTATCGCTCTCCCTCGAACCATAACTGGGATGACCTACTCGAATACCTCGCCGTCCAGATCCACTTCCTGAACATCAATCACCCCGCTTCAGAGGTAGTTCTTCTCGGTGATTTCAATGCCCATAATGAGCTTTGGTTGGGCTCAAATAAGACCGATGCAGCAGGTCGTGCAGTCGAAGCGTTCGCTCTTACTCAAGGACTGACCCAGCTGGTGACGAGCCCTACATTTTTCCCCCGCGTCTCGTCACACGCCAGTAGCCTGCTGGATCTCTTTCTGACCACGCATCCTGCCCCTTATAGCACTGCTGTCCTGTCCCCCCTGGGTAACTCAGATCACGGTGTTGTGGAGGTTAGGTTTCGGTCAGAAGCCGCTGTGGCAGCAGAAACTCGCACAGGCCGCAAAACTTGGCATTACGGACATGCCGACTGGGAGGGGCTCAGAGACTTCTTCTCTAGCTTTCCTTGGAGAGACGTCTGTTTCACTGACGCGGATGCGTCGACTGTCTGTTCTTCAATAACCGAAATTATCCACGTCGGAATGGAGGAATACATCCCTCGCACAGTGAAAGTTCCTAAACCAGGGTCCAACGGCTGGTTCAACAAATCGTGTGACACTGCTCGCCAGCAGAAGATCAAGGCCCACAGAACCTACTTACAAAACCCCACTGTAGAGAACAGACAAGCCGACGTTGAGTCCAGAAACAAATATAACGAGGCGGTTCGCAATGCCAAAAACCAGCATGATATAAAAGTTAGGCACAGGGTAATGTCGCAGCGCAATGGCAGTCGGTCTTTCTGGACGCTGGCCAAGCAGATTGAAAAGAACTTCTCACACAGTAGCCTTCCACCACTTACGTGTCAGGATGGAACTATTGTATTCGACTCAAAGGCCAAGGCGGAAGTGCTAGCCAAGATCTTTGCTGCCAACTCCACCATGGACGTCCCCACCAACGCCCAAGTGCCGTCAATTCAAAGGGTTCCCCACACTATGCGGGAGGTAACATTCAGGCATAAGACCGTAAGACGAGTGCTCTTGTCGCTCGACATCAACAAAGCTTCTGGTCCGGACTTGATTCCTGCCATTGTACTGAAGAGATGTGCAGCGGAGCTTGCTCCAGTTCTTTCGCGTCTCTTCCAGATATCTTATGAATCCGGCACCTTCCCAGAAAACTGAAAATTTGCTCATGTACAGCCCATCCCAATAAAAGGATCTAAAACCGACCCTTACAACTACAGGCCTATAGCTCTGCTTTCTGTTATAAGTAAAGTGATGGAGAGGTGCATAAATCGCGAGCTTCTGGACTACCTCGAACGTCACAGCTTGATTAGCGACAGGCAGTACGGTTTACGGCACCAACGATCCACAGGGGACCTCCTAGCTTACGTCACGCAACTGTGGAGTAAACTCATCCAGTCTCATGGTGAGGCTCAAGTCGTTGCTCTTGACATCACGAAAGCGTTCGATCAGCTGTGGCACGCTGCCCTCTTAAGCAAACTTCCATCCTACGGCCTCCCAGAAAAGCTATGCAGATGGGTGGCTGACTTTATCTCTGACCGCAAGATATCCGTCGTAATTGACGGATTCTCCTCTTGATCCCACAACGTCAACGCGGGTGTTCCCCAGGGATCGGTCTTGGCTCCAACACTGTTTCTCTTACATATCAACGACCTCCTTTCCTGCACGATCAACTCAATCCACAGCTTCGCTGATGACAGCACTCTACATGCAGGAATTCAGAGTGACAAGCCGATCTCTGCCGCTGAGCTGGAAAAAAGAAGACTAGCGACGACTTCTTCTCTGACAAGAGACCTGGAGGCTATCACTGCTTGGGGACGAAACAATCTTGTACAGTTCAATGCTTCCAAAACACAGTACTGTACTTTGACGAACAAAAAGCGTCCTAGCGCTCATACAGTTTCGATGGACGGTCGAGTTCTACCAAAGAGCCATTCATTTCGGCTGGTCGGAGTCCAGATCACCGAGGACCTGATCTGGCACGAACACATCTCCTCAATAGCTGCAGCTGCTGGGAAAAAGCTAGGCTATTTGTTTAGGGCTAAGAGGTACTTTTCTCCGCATGACCTTCTCACTCTATACAAGGCCCAGATAAGGCCTAGCCTCGAGTATTGCTCACACATTTGGGGTGCTGCCGCCCCGACTACATTGTCCATGCTCGATGCTGTCCAGAGGAGGGCGGTCCGACTGATCGATGACTCTTCTCTAACAGACAGTCTCGGGACTCTTTCGCACCGGCGGGTCGTCGGTGATCTAGCTCTTTTCTATCGCTACACCAACGGGCTTTGCTCCTCAGAGCTCTCTTTCATGATGCCGCCGCGCGATGTGCCTGCCAGACAGACCCGCCTGACTTCGGCGTCCCATCCTAACCGTGTCAAACTTCGTACATCCAGAACTGGCCGATACGACCGCTCCTTTGTCCCGAGGGTGTCTAGATTGTGGAACAATCTACGGGAGGAAGCTTTTCCCAGTTCTACTAACCTTAGGCAGTTCAAAAATCGTATTAACAAAATTTTTTTGGGATCATCATAGCAGCCGCGGTGTTCCGGCATTTAGGCTTCTGCCTGCGCGGCTGTTTCGATATATATATAAAAAAAAATAATATTATATTTATAATAACGTAGTTTTTATTACAATTTTTTATTACTTAATTAATGTTGATCCATTCTAAATATTTTATTTAGACGCTCTATTCTTCAATATTTGTATAACCCATTTCTTCGAATAAGTCGTCGATTTTCTCAGTCTGCTCTTCCATCATCCTCAACTCCAATTACAGCAAGACTGTAGCATTCTGTGTGATCATCACCATCATTACAATTTATGCACAAAGGTGTTTTTTCCAACTACACCGACTCGTTTGGCAACCAGTAGTACATTTGTAGGAAATTTTTTTCATAGTATCGTCTGGTATTAAACTGTCCATCCAACACGATCGGCTTCACCTCCACCCGTACTTGGTTGGATCTATTTTATTGCCTAATCACGTTTGTAACTGGTAATATACCCGTAGAAGTTTTTTAAATATTCGTGCTTTAGCCACCTGTACAAATCAACTTGTTGAAATAATTATATTTAAAAATCATGAAGTTATTGTAAATGTTTGTAATTATAAACATGAGTACTCTCTTAAAATCATTTTTAACAACAATTTTGAAATGAATAATTAGTTTTCTGCATAAATTTTCCAAAAATCCATTTTACATTTGTAAAACAACGCATATATGGCTGCATCCTTTTATGTAATTGTCATTAGAAAGACCCTTTTTCCATTTAAAATGACCCAGATATCTGCTAAACTTTTTTCACCTTTCTTTTATCTAGCGTGGACTAATAGTCATAGTCATAATTAGAGACGTAAGCATACGAGTTGAAATACGTATGTCTTCTGAACGCGTTTATAAAAATTGTCATGAGCATACTTATGTCTGAAGTTCGTGACTTTTAACTATTATGCTTACTACTGAGATGTCGCCTATCCTACTACTTACTAAGTAACTGACAGCAAACCTAACCTATAGTTTGGCGACACAGGATAGAACTCAAACTTTAACCTACCGTGTTACAGTATTATTATTTTGTTTACCTGCTCGTTAAATCATTTGAAATAAGTTTATGTACTGAGCTTTTCTTTATTTTTTCTATGCTAAGTACAAGATAGACATAAGGATGAATCCCTTTTTATTTTCTGGATCAAAAAAGACAACTGCTTATGACTATAGTTGTGGCAGTTCTTTAATTCGAGTAATAGAGCGATCGTATTTGCCAGCATTCGATGTACTTATGCTGCGTAACTAGGGATTGCAATCCCCCGTCGGAATCCTACCCAGCAGATCAGCCGTATCTCGCACCTAGAAAATAGAGATCCGCTGATTCATTAAGTTCAAAATTTTGTAAAGATCTTTCACGTGGAAGCCAGAAAATTTGAGGGAAAGTAATTTTACTTCACAATGAATATTCTTGGTGGTCTATTTTATTTAGATGCCATTTATATGAATTCCTCCAAAATAATATGAATATCAGCTAATATTTTTCATATTGTGTGATGAATTTTACTTTGTTACAGAATTTATATCAGCCGCCATGCTTCGAATCCCGTCCCAGGACAATTTTTCTCTTGGTTACGGATGTTGTGATTGTCCGTAGGTGGTAGACGGTCTCGTCGTCGAACGTGGAGGTACCACCCGGCGGATCTCTAAGAGGGGGCCAGAGTGTGTGCATTTTTCATGCACACGTGCTCCCTCGCTAGAGGACGTGTGATGTCCCCCCCCCGCTTACCCCTGTACCCCTCTATAGCCTCACGGTACCCCTTCGTGGTGGCTCAAGTCCAAAAGAAACTACAGAACTGTAAAAAAAGTTGACTATGTCAAATGCACTTTGATCCTTCCTACAGACTATGAGAACAAGAATACAAACAAATCCTTGACTGGCTCTTTTTCCCTAGCCTATATTCTTTGACATGTGGGTGCCGATTGGATTTTGAGGAAACTTTGGCTCAAGGTCACTACCAACCAAGGTCGAAAAATCTTTGTATGAGCGAACAGAACGTTACCAACTTCCATTTTTCGACTTTTTGATCAGTTTAACGCGTAGTCAAAAAATGTTCTACATAGCTCAATGATTTTGAGAATCAGTCCAGTTAGGGTAGATTAATCGTGAAAACATGAATAATCATTGGTTCCTCTATTACGGTAAGGCTCCCGTGGCTAAGTTTTGACTCAATACTTGACATTATAGCGTTTGAAGCCATATAATATTCTAATAGTGCGGGATGCATCAGCTGACTGTCTGATTTGATATGGCTAAACTATCTAGAGAACAGGACGTGAAACTCGCTTAGCTCTCCTTAAGACTAATTGAAAGTAAACTGGCGCTATATCAATATTTCGCAAGCAATCTATGGACTCGATTGAAACTTCTCAAGCTCAACTTCACCTTTTCCTTAATACGTAAGCTTCCGTCAAGGCATTTCAAGGTAGTAATTCGCCAAAACTCCATTAAAGATATTACAGAAGTTGTCGGTTAAAAATCCCAGTGACAATCGCTTGGCTTGCCGTCTTGATGAGAGGAAGCACACGAAACTCTCCGCGAAACTCCCGCGTCTTGAGTTCTTCATGAATTATGCAATGCTTAAGGAGTTGCGGGTCGAAAGAAGAGGATTAATTACCTGAGGCAGTCTTTGCACCAAATTAGAAATGGGGATAAAGGCACTCTGTCGGCTGCGGTGCTGCTATTCCGATCAAAGCTTTCCGATCCAATCAGTTGCAATCAACGGAATCGGACTATGCAGAAGGAGCTGCCATGCGACTTGTAGTTGTTCACCTTTCGCATTAAGTTCGTATCTTTCTACGAAGCTATATAAAAGTTTGTAGGTTTCATTACGCTCCTAGTAAGGCTTCTGTGGATTGCAAAATTCAGCCTCTTTCTATCGATAAGTGTTAATATATAATCGTATATCATTAACACTGTGAAAGACCATGCACCTCAACCCTAAGCATTGGGCAGAACCTGGACTGTTTTGAGCCAATTTAATTTCATTCCACTACCTGATTCAATCTAAAGCTTGTTAAAGAATTTAATACCTATCATAACATTGAAAAATGCAAAATATTGGAGAAAAACGAATATTTTTTATGGATACTCAAAAAGTGAGCTGAAGCTTTAACTTTGAGTTCTATCTTATTGATGAAGCTTAGCACGCCCCAAAATTCTATCAATACTAAATAGTTACAACAGTAGCAGTAATTTCCATATTAATAATAATAATGCATTTATTACACAACAGTGAATAACATTTAGGTACAAATCAAAAAGCGGTAGTATAGCTTACATGATAGTTACAGCACAAACTGAAAATATCTTAGAACATAGAAAAAGAAATAGAAGAAATGCCACAAAAACTTGACCAAAATCTACCAGAGATGGGCTCTAATTCACAAAAACTGCAGTGAAACTGCACATACACTTGAAATTCTGTTAGCACATAAAATTAATCGGAACCTTCGATAGTAAATTATTTTGTGCTCTTTTGCCCAGAAAAGTATTAAAATACCTAGATCTTATAATACGAACCAGAATATCTACCTGAGATAACAATATTGGACTATGTAGTTGCTCAGGATAACTACAACCTCTTGGTGAGTACACATCATCGATTTTAAAACTATGTTTCTCAAACATTTCTTTTGTACCTTCTCAATAGCGCCGGTGTACTGGCTGTAGGCCTCCATATGAATAATCCGTATTACAGGATGCGTTGTTGCAAATCACTTTGCAAAGTAATACCGTGCACAGTAATAGAATGTAGATTGACAGATAAAATGTTACTCTGAAATACTGTGAAACTTCATTTTTCGAACGCCTAAATTGTTACCGGGTCATGTAATGACAGTTGATGACAGTTCTAACCATGTTTTCTGCGACCATTTGTATATATTATAAGAGACCTAGGGATACGAGGTAGCATTTATCATGAAAAATATATATTCTGCCAATTGTGGGCAGTTTTTGATAACCAATTAAAATAAAAAACAAGGAACCATGAGAATGACAAGCGATAGAACTCGTATTCCCCAGGGTTTGAGCTCGGAAAGAAAAACACACCTATGACGTTCCAGGATTACTTTGTTCTATTTCCGAACGCATGTAACAGGCACGTCAAGCAATTAGAAACTCTAAAATTGTCACAGGGTAGTACAAAAACACTCTGCAACAATTTACGTATGCAGGTTTGGATCTCATTGAGTTGTCACTGAAATTCTTGCAATTCCTAACAATAAAACCGTATGCCCGAAAGTTAAATGTCAACTGATTATTAAAATAGACGCTTAGACACCATATTATGCTCAACTAAGTATTGACTTTCAGCCCGGAATCTACTTGGAACACAACTATTTAGAAAGATCGAGTAAAGTTCAGCTACTATCAAGTGTTTGGGTATACTGCTGTTGGATGAAGACAGTTTTTCGAATGTTTACCTTCCAAGCAGAATGGTTCGTAGCATAACCGTTAAGGAATATTAAATTTCGTATCTTCGCCTTATTTAAATTATCCTTGTTTCTCCACAACAACCACTGATTAATATAGAGTACGGTAGAAGCCGATAGTCGATGCAACATAGATAGTGTCTCTACTCAGATCCACGTGACTCCACTCAGTACGTTTAAAAATATACCCAAAATGCGCTGCGTAATTTTGGCGAAAAATACTACCATGTAAACATTAGACTTGGCTCTTTCTAACATATTTGCTGGATGCAATTGATGACAGAAAGCCTGAAAAAGAAGACCAAGCTTCGCAAACAACTGACAATAATTAGGGGAACAACTATCTTTATATCGAAGACTTATGAAGGGTGACCTTACAATAAAAATTAAAAGTAGTTTAACTATGTCTTTAACTAACCAGAAAGTTCAGACACGTCGGAAATCAAATTGTGTCATTTTTTAAAAAAGTTTCACCTCTTATAGAATTTATTTTTACCACTCCAAAATTTTTAGGGAGCCTTATAAGATGAAAAAAGCAGTTTGGGAACGCTCTGAAATTTTTGAGTTTCGCTAATAGCTTGATCTACAATGCTAGTATCGGTGGTTGAAACCGTTGTCTATCAAGCACATATGAACAATTGTCGAGGTCTATTACGATTATGTTTTGAAGATTGCACGCGCTAAAGCGACTTTACGCTCTAGAGCACGAAGAAATCTGGTAGCTGAAAATTTGGGCTAAACGCCCAGAAACCAATTCATAAAGTCATGGATAAATATTTTTATGTTATCCAAAATGTGTTTAAACGAGTTGAATATGATTCTTATACACTTTACTATACTCATTTCAAATTGTTTTAGCAACAACTCGACCACTTATTGATAGATTTACATCAGACAAGTTTTAAGATCTTCATTTAGCAACTCCACAAAGCTCAATTAGACGCATCCCAAAACTCCCTCGTGAAAAATCCCCTTGAAAATTGCTCAGTTTAGCGCCATGGTAGGCGGAAGGGTACACAGAACTCGGCGAAACTCTTGACGCTCGACTTGTTCATGAATAATTCATTACTCAAAGAGCTGCCACGATTCGGAAGAAAAGGATATTAATCACCTGATGCAGCCTTCGATTCAAATGAGGAATCAAAGATGCACTTTACCACATTGTGTATCTTCCTGCAACAGTTTCCGATGTTTCCAATACGCCGCGGGAGATAAAATGTCTATAAGATGGAACGCCAAAGTACACAAAGTGAATTCGCGGCGAAATCACAGACTTTGTAATGAGCTCTAGTAGTTGAATAAAGATATCGAGTAGATGTCAGATGCCGAATCAATGTTCTACTTGGCTGGATATTCTCAGCAGATTTTGAAGTTGCAAGAATCATTTGAAAATTCGGTTGATAAAAATATGCTAGGTGAGAGAAGAACATCTAGTCACGATGAATTTATTGCAAGGACTAGGTATATGTTTTGTAATATCGTCTGTTCTTACAAGAAAAGTGAGTATGTGATTGTTGAGTTTTGTATCTACAATTGGAATTTGATCATATTACAATACTCTTATTCCTAGGCACCGAAGTGAACGACTGGCTTGATGCAGAGAACTGCTGGTCTGAGAGATCGGACAGAATACAATTTATTCTCTTTAGTGATGAATCCAGATTCTAGTTGGGGATGCATGATGGCCGTGCAAGGGTGAGAAGGCGACGAGGTCAAGGACGAGATCCTCAATTTTCTGTGGAAACCCATGGTATCGGAAGGCTAGGGCTTATAGAAGCAGGTCACCTTTATAGACCGCGGTACGTTGTATCCAAGGAGGTGGAGGAACCACATGATTTGCCTTATATACGGACGCACCCACCCTACTTTTCCAACAAAATAACGGGCGACCACATATAGCCAGAATTACGTTTGGAGACAATCAAATCGATTTGCTGCCTTAGCCCCTCGATCTCCCGATCTCTCATCCATTGAACGCGTCATTATGGAAATAATGTTACTCCGCTTACCCCGGCACTTCGGCACGAGGTATGTACATGAAGCCTGGGATGAGATACATAAAGAGGAAATCGATCATCTGATTAGGAGTATATCCAGATGTGTTTCTGAGTATATAAGACACCGTGGAGGCCCAACAGTTTATTAATTTTGTACAAATTTTCTTCAACGGTTTGATTTTTCTTAATCTTTTTATCAACTACTTACCTCACCCTAAGAGGCAGGTACACAAAACATTCTTGTGATAAATTCATTATTACCGGGTGTTTTTCATTCTATGTCAGTATATTGAGGTATTGCAGATCAGCGCGACAGTTGGAGGTAATTTTTTCCCGATCGCCGGCATAACAACCATACGTAACAGCGTATGAAAAAACTACATTACAGTATATTCAGATAAGAGATAGACCGGACATAAACAAGACCACGTGATCATCGAACGCTGTAACATTCGGCAGGGACGTATTAAGAGTCACGCAGTACATATTTTAGATAGTAGATGCTGCTTTGCGTAACTTTGTAGTAAATTAGGACGATTCGATGTGTATACGATTGGTGATGGATATAGGATCATGTGGGGGTGGGGTAAGGAATATATAATGATGTAAATATACATAAGGGTTTCAAAATTTTCGCTTCGATTTCCAGCTTCTGATGCCGCCTGATGTTTGGTGAAAAACAGTCGAATACAATCTCAAAATGGCGTTTAAATTAGCCTAAATAAAAAATAATCGTATATCTCTTAAAATTGCTTTTAGAATATTGATTAGTATATTTTTTGATTTCTAGGTAAATATGTAACCAAATTAAAACGTTCAAAACGTAAAAAAATGTGCATGGTTGAACATTGTCAGAAAGTAGATTCTTGAATAGGTTTTGCCAAAATGGGTTCAAAAATGTCAATAATTAATTAAAAAATACAGTAGCTTTATAATTACTTATAACTTACCGAATTTGATGATCGACATCTTTTATTGGAAAGATGAGCTTGATGAGCTTTCATCATCGCTACTTCCTGAAGCACCAACGTCAATAATGAATGGCTCGACTTGTTCCTCTAAAAGATTGTCCAGTTCCCACATTCTCTTTTCAACTTTGTCTTTCACGTGCTTAATACAGTTTTCCCATTTTTGCGCTGTTATTAATTCTAGTGCTTCTTTGAAAAGTCCTTTGAGGTCACAAAATTTAAAAGTTGTATTGTGCTTAGCTATATAATTTTTAACCTCTGCCCATATGAGCTCAATGGGATTGAGCTCGCAATGGTATGGAGGTAAACGGAGCACAGTTTTATTTTGACTTGCTGCCATTTCGTCAATGGCGTATTTTTGATATTCCGCCTTGTGATCCTTGACAATTCTTAATAATTGTACTTTTAGCATTGCTTCTTCAAAGTTGATATTTTTCGAGCGGAGCCAATTTTGAACATCAACTTTCCTTGAAGCCGTTGTTGGGACCTTCTCCATTCTTCGAGAATGATAAGGCGCATTATCCAACACAATTACTGCGTTTTCCTCTAAGTTCGGTAAAATTTTTGAAAACCACTGTTCAAACGATTCGCCATTCATTTCCTCGTGGTAATCTCCAGTTTTCTTAGACTCAAAGCACCACAGACCGTCAACAACAAATCCATCCTCACTGCCAATATGGCAGATAATGAGCCTTTTCCCTTTACCTGGAAATCGAAGTACTAATCGGTGTAGATTTATTTCAATAAGCGAACCTTTTTCAAATGTTTTCATCACATTCAGCGAAAAAACATTGAGACATGAGTATCAGATTGCTATAATTGGGATTATTTAGCCATATTGAAAGATAGAATATTGAACGTCGTATGATTACTCAGCGCTTCACAATTTAATTTAAAGTTATAAACCTTTAAAAAATGAATGATCAGGAACCTGAAATACGCGCAAATATTAATATTAACAAATTATAACTTTATAAAGCTTAAAGTATGAATTAAAATGATTAGAAATATTAGGAACGGTACACAATATAAAACTTAGTAACTTTTTTTAAGTTTATAATATTCGACATTATTAAAATTATTGAAATATCGAAAACACATAAAAACATGGCTTAAAAAAGTTCTAACAAGTGAAAATGACAATAAAACATCCACGCATTTTATCGAAAGTTATAAAAGTTTTGTTACTTGTAATATGTTTTATCTGCCCCCTGGAATTAATGTTTAGAACCTTGTTCCCAAGGTTTGGAAAACATCCGATTGTTGTCTATTACTTGTATTTACCTGCTGGATTTTTTAATCCGGTGGACAGTCCATCTAGAAAGGCCCTCCTGGATGAAGTTACAAAATCATCAACCCATACTTTACTTGTAGTGTGTCCTGCGTTTACCCACGTTTCATCAAGGTAATAAATCTTCCTGTTTTGATTTCTATATTTCC